TGGCGGCCCCCTGCTACCCTGAGCGCTTGCATAACGCGTTCGCGTCAGCGGCTTGCACAGCGCCCTGCCCCGGGCTCTCTGCTGTGTTTGTCCGAGGTCAGATTCCAGGACCCTTTGCAACAGGTAACCAGTCCTCACCACTGGTTGTACTACTAAGAAAAAAAATAATGGGTGAAGTAGGGACGTAGTTTTATTCGTGTGAAGGGTGAGCACTGTGCCTGTCAAACTGCATACAAGCAATACGCAGTCCTGCTCTGTCACATGCAGGAGGAAGGGAAGCCTGAAATCGTTATTTCATGTCTTGTTTGCTCACTGAACAAAATTCCCGTGGTATTTCATCACAGTTACTGCAGTACTTGCAGACATTGTGAGCACAGCCTCATAGTTACTTACCTTAAGTCCAGACTTAATTCTTTTCCTGGAGCACTTGGAGAAAAAAAAAAAAAAAAAAAAAAAAAACAACTTGACACCCTCTAATTGGAAAGGTCCGCACTGTCCATTACAGCAAGCTCTACATCAACTCCCCACATAATTCTTCATTATATAATCTCAGAAGGAGCTACTATTCTGATGGAGGACAGATAGAAAGAAAAGTGATATAGATATACTTGGCAAGAGAAACAGTTCAAGCTAAAAGATAGGCCTGAGTTACAGTAATTCAGGATGACTGAAAGGGTACAGGCCACTTAATCATGCCCGAAGAGCAGCTTTCAACATTCCCTGGGCAAAACGAATCTCTTCCCCTGCTCTCTTTTAACAGAAAACTTCTTTTTTTTTTTGGTCCACTCTTCTGTTTTCCCTTTAATCAGCTTAATCAAACTTAATGCCTCAGGAAGAATTGAATTTCTTTCTCCCCCCCACCCCCCAATATATTACCTGCAGGTCTGCTACAGTATTTTCCAGCAGAGGAGGTACCTCTTACTCGAGTATTTTCAAAGTATTTTTAAAACACACAGTGTAAGAGTAACAGCTTTTGAGGTAGAAGGTGTATAGCACTATTATAAAGACATCCTAAGATAGCAAAGAGAAGATGTAATCCGAAAGGCAGTTTTCGCATCAAGGTTTTGGAACTATCCTTCTCTAGCCCTGTGTTAAAGCCCTGTGGTATGGAAAACAACATTCACAGGAATGTTCCCATTGCCCGGGAATGGCAGTGCTTTGGGGACATTTTCCTTGAACATATAAAAACACACAGTGTGAAGTTTAGGAACCTCTGTGGGGCAGAGAACACGTTACGAAACCTCCTGGGAGAGGCAGTGGCTGGACGTGCTCTGCCTTTGCCTCCAAAGAGGCCATGGCTGTGTGTCAGGGATGGAGCTCCTGCTGCCGCTTCCTTCGTCTGCTCCCTGCACGGCCTGGAAGCGCCTCCTGAGAGCCCAGGAGCAGGATCCGTGGGTGGAAAGTTTGGAAATAAGAACGACATGTGAAGCAGAAGAGGCTGGGCTTGTGTTGCAGGAGTCGGGAGGTGGTGGCGCAATCGTGTCTTAGCAGAGGGCCTGGCCTCACACAGAGCCCCTGCTGCCGGCATCCAAATTAAAGTTGCTCCATCAGCAACAAAGGCAGTTTGAAAAATATGACAGGTGCATTTGAAGAGGTATTTCAAAATAAAATTTAATATTAGAAGAATTACATTCAAATTTAACATAGAATACATATAACCATTACTTAATGCTCTGCATTTGAAGTTCTGCTGTTCTTTGGCAGTTATCTTAGAGTAGATACAACTATCTTTTTTGCTGCAGGAAAATTAAACTCTTAACTATCTAACTACTTTTCCTTCTGTGTGTCATGCTATGTTGCTATGATATCCCAAAGCTTAAGTATCCCAATGAGAAAGCTGAGCTGGGTTATTCTGAAAACAAGCAACAAACACCACCACAAAGTGCAGTATTTTCTCTCCAAGTTTTGATACCAAGTTCTGTGTTAAAGTTTTTCAGATTTATCTTCGGTTAAGTTATACTGCTTGAGCAGTACCAGTGTCAGAGAAGTACAACCTGCCTCCTTTGTGTGGATTTAACAGCAGCAGAGTAAGATTTAGAATGGTTATCATTAGGTTTTAGATAAAGAATAAAGTTGGACTGGTAGCAATACCTTTAGGCCCGTGTAACAGCACCCTCTCCTTATCTCTCTTCCAAAGTAAAGGAATATTTTAGCTAAAGCCCCTTCCTTCTTGTTCCCTCCTTCTTTTTGTAAGTATGAAAGATCTGCTTATAGACTATTTGTTAAAGAACTTAACACTCACTGCTTTAGTGAAATAATTCTGCAGGTCTCAAATATCTGCTGCCTTTAAACACAATGATCTGCAGAACCACAGAACAAAGGCAGAAGTGTATACAGAAGTTAAAAATTTAGAAGCGCATGGTATTTCTGTAGAAGGTAAGACACTCTTGTGTAGGTTCTGCTTTTAAAGTTTGTCACCAGGGCTAGGAGGAAAGAGTAAAGAGTAGGTGACTGGCACCCGACTCTCCCATGGGAGCATAGGCAGTCTCAACAGCACGTTCCCCTTCAAATGGAAAAGGGACAAAACCTTCAATAAAAGATACTGATTTACCAGCTTTTGTTAGATGAAGTTAAGCAAAGACACAGGTTTATGGAACCTTATAGAACAAGGTTAAATGAAATGCTTGGTGGCAAAAAAAAAAAAGTTGTAGATTTTAACAAACCATTTGACAGAATATTATTTTTGAGAAGTCCCCAGGTATCGGATGCAAACATTGGAACATTGAAAGTAAAACTACCAAGTCATCCTGAGTATTCCCTTTAAAAATTGATTTTACATAAGTTAAAAAAAAAGATTTTAATTGTATCTCACTCCAATTTTAAACTAATGCTTAAAAAGGATAATTTTGCACTTGTGCTCATTCCAACAGCATTGAAGATTGTTAATAAATTAACAAATGCAAATATAATACATTCCTAATGACTAATCAATATTACACTTCAATCTATCACTTGCCTTAATTGTATAAATACACACTATTTAACTTCAGCATAAATCTATAAGTGACAATTCACCAGTCAGCATTACAGTATTATCACAGTAAAGCATGTTGTTCAATGTTTCATTATTTTAAGTTTACAATCCACATATTTGCAGGTTGAAACACTGCAGAGCATAGTAGCTTCCTGTGTTTCTGAACGAGTTCCGAAAAAACTCCCCTGACTTCACTGCCTAGTGACAACAAATGAATTTATTGTCAATGACATTCATTTTATGTGTCTCTTTTAAGCTTGGAGGAAAAAAAAAAAAAGGGATGAAATCCAATACTCAGCACACCAGCTCCGTTGTTTCAAGTAACACAAGTAGCAGGTACCAGTCTGCAGGTTATTTCGCACAAAACCCATGTCTCCAGGAGCAAAGGTGTTTAAGTAAATAAGCAGACAGGTGGTTAACAGGAGAGCAAAGCTCTTCACCATTAAAAATGCAGTAAGCGTCCCCTGAGACAAATCAGCATTGCTAGTTCAGTCAGAAAATCCACCAAATACGAAAATTCAAGAGAGCTCATTTCTACAGATAAAAAAAAAAAAACACTCTCCCAAATTTTTCCCTGTACTACTGTAAGTAGTACTTAAAAACTTAAAATATTACTTAAAGTACTACTTAAGTAGTACAGTAGTTCTTTAAGTACTACTTACAGTAGTTCTTAAAGAACTAATCAGTTTTCTACATCCTGGATGGTGGCAGCAGTGCAGTTCCAAAAAAGTTGCACCTTGAACTTTAATGCAGTCTTGGGACTGTGAATGACTTAACGCTTGTGAAACCTAGAAGCAGCCAAACATATTTTTCTATATTTTTTAAAAAACAATAAAATAAATGCTTTAAAAAATGCAATTTTATTTTAGTTTGAATTGGGCTGTTTGTATACAGAAATTTATATTTTTACAGGATTAGCTTTGTTTAGTTCACATTTCTGAAATGCAAAGTGAACCTAGTTACTGAAAGAATATAGTTCTTTCATTTAAAAATTGAACTATAATATTTTTAGCCAATTATTAACATAAGAAAACATTAAATGGTGCAGGTTACAAAATGTTAGTGCATAGGTTTGTCTTTTATGCAGGAATCACTAATCTTGAAAGACACTACTATAATACAGAACAGATTATGAATATGGTAAGTCTGCAGTTATTTGCACAATGCTCAAACTTATAAAACATCTATCTGAAATTTAAATGGTACCTTTACAAGTTAACAACTTAAGTTTTGTAATAAAAAGAAGTAAGAAAAAAATAAAGGTGCAGCAGGAGTGGGCTTTAATGGCAGAAAATGGCTTTTCTGCAAACTGATTGTACACTGACACGTAAATTAGCTTTATCTTAATTTTACTTTCCAAAGAGTTCCAAAAGCAGTTTAGAATACTCATATGAGAAGCTACTGGATAAACAGTACAGGTCCTACCTTTACTGAGTCAAAAATATTCTTCTTTTGTTTACAACAAAAACTCTACTCTTGCACTTGATTTCATGTGTATGATTACAGTAACTATACGATAAATTATCTCTAAACTGTATTCTTTTTTTCCTCCCAGAGAAGCTGAAGAGAAGAATCCTTGCCTTTTAATACCATTGGGAAGCCTGGATTATTGGAGCGTACTCCACAAATGCAAAACTGAGAAGGAAAAAAAAAAAAAAAAAAAGGAAGAACTGCAAGAGTTTCACCTCCTTGAGTAATGTTCTACCTTTGTTTCACAGCTTATTCAACACAAATAAAACATTTGCCATGGTGCTTAACTTTCCATGTTTTCAAGAAAGTCACATTCAACACTGTCTTCAAGCTGTTGCAAGATCTTTATGCCATTATTGCCAAAGTAGTCCACAGGGAGAGAGGCAGAAGCATGGCAATTCTGGGACTCGCTCCCCTTTGCTGTAAACACGCAACACAGAGTCTTGAAGAAGGGTACCAGCTGGGTGATGCTAGATATACAGCGGATGTCCAAAAGAGGAAATTTGGGCCTTTTGGAAGTTCTCTCATTAGTATTGTTCGTTTCCTGTGAGCGTACAAAGCAAGAGTTTGCATTAGGACACCATGTCCTTCTACTACATATACTTCATTTGAACTCTCTACTAGAGGCTTGCTTTCATGCTAAGAGATTGTAGCCTACAATTCTACCATCACAGCAAGTGTATAGTTGGTATACCAAGTTATTTCCATATTTAGATTCGAGTTTCTATTAAAAGAAAGTCTCACAAGTTCAGAAGACTGCAAATTTGCACTAGCCATAAAAATCAGAATGACACAACCAACAACAGAATATTGAGACTACAGATAGCCTATAGTTATAGTGCTGCATGGGACAAAGTTTCTCACCTGGTGCTTACGGTCAGATTTAAGGAAGCAACAGGTAACTACGACTTCATAACCATAAGCAATTGGCAATTTGGCATCTTCAAAATACATGTGTGCAAGCAGACAGACCATTTTTAAAAGCCTGATGAATCTTCATATTTAAAAACGTCTTGCCTACCTTACTGCTCTAAGAAAGTGGTAAGATCTTAAATTAATAAATTCCATACAAGTTAAATATGATCTAAGTGAAGCATTCTTTTTTTTACCCCATATTTCTTCTTTAGCAGATCCATGATTCTTAAAATGTGTGGTCTGCATTCTTGATGATTTTCCATCAGATGAGAATTCACAGTACACGCTTCTGTGTCAATCTCTGGGACAAACGCCCATTTGTACCTGAAACAAATGGATTACATTATTAAGAATATAGAAGGAAGAATTAATTTCTTGGATCATATATAGTTTAGCAGAGCAGTAGTTTATTTACAGTAACTAGCTGTGATAACTTGCTGCCTCCAAAGTCAAACTTAATGTTCAGGAAGTTACTCTCATGACAGCACTTAAAGGCTGTTGACTCCAAAAATGCCCAACCGTGTGTTTAAGGGAAAACAAAGATCACTGGGTCTGTGCCCTTCTTACTTGGGAGAACTGGGAGAAGAGAAATGCCTAGTGATGACATTTATATCTCCTTACACTAACATTTCAACATTGTTTCTACAAGAATAGATGTTGATATTAGGACAAATGCAACTTGTATATTTGAAAAACAATGTAGTGCAAATTTATTATAGAACAAAATAGATATGGAATTACTTTAAAAACCAGTAACAAACTCTAGAACAGATAGGCACCTGAGGACTTACATCTGAAATAACTGCATCCTGTCGGGTGGAAATGAAAGTGCTGTATCCAAAAATTTACAAGCTGATAAATACAAGGACAGTTCATTCTGCTGTATGTCAGAAAGTGAGGAACCACTGCCATCAGCTGACACTTTCTGTCTGCTTATTTTGCTGTTGCTCCTGTGTTACAGTCAAGAAATGCACTATTAAAACATATAAATCGCAGAATTACAGAACACTGGAGGTTGAAAGTGATCTCTGGCGATCAAGTCCAACCCCACTGCTTAAGAAGGATCATGCAGAACATGTTGCCCAGAACTGCATCCAGGTGGGTTTTAAGTACGTCCATGACATCCTACACCCTCTTTGGGCAACCTGTTCCAATGTTCAACCACCCTCACAGCAAAATAGTTCTTTCTCATGTTCAGATGGAACTTCCCATGTTTGTGACTGTTGTCTTTCATCCTACCACTGGACACTGCTGAAAAGAGTACAGCTCCATCATCTTTACATCCTCCCTTCAGAAATGTATATGCACCAATATGATTCCCTCTTGATTTTCTTTCTCCAGGCTAAACAGTCTACTCTCCACTAAGTGTTTTTTATGCAAGAGAAGGGGAATGTACCTGTGCACATAAAAAGCTTTATTTTTTGGTCTATATTAGCACTGAGATTAATATAAAAGGCTAATATCAGTAACACAACTAAGAAAAATGAAAAAAAGAAATATTGTAAAATAATAAAATGTTAATGTAACATTTTTCTATTTTTGTATGCAGCAAGTATCCATGCTTAGAACATATTATTTTAGCTGCTGAAAAGAATTCCAAACTAAGATTCATCAGTGCCAGAAATATGCAAGCGCAATTAGTAAAAGCTGTCATCTCTCCCCATACTAGAAAATGCAAACATTGCAGCAAGAGAACAAGCACAATCAGTACTAGCTTTCACAAGTTCTTTACAAGATAAATGGCAATTCTTACTTTGGTGGTTCCTCTTCCTCTGTTAAATCTTCTTCCAGCTGTAGAAACGTCTGAATCTTTAAGTAAATAATTTATGGGGACATTAAAATGTTCATACAACTCAAGCACAAAAGCATGTTTCATATAGTATGAGGAACCAGTTCACACTATGGCTTGCAAGAAGTTAAGAAGTCATGCAATAACAACAAAAATAAATGAAGATACTTCTTAATGAAAACATTAATTATTTTCCCAAATTATCAAAGTAATGTAAAGCTATGAAAACACTTCCTTTTTCAAATAGGGTGCAAAGGGAGGGAAAAAAATCCACACTAATTAGTTTCGAGTTACTTATTCCTTACCAATTCTGTTACCATAATTGGCCACAGCGAGGTTAGATGCTGAGGAGAAATCCTTAACAAAAGAACTCTGAAGAAGAGAAACATCTGTGCTGCAACTATGGAAGTTTGTCCAACACGAAGGTTCTCGGTCAGTCGTTCTGAAATGAAGATTAAAAAAGTATTATTTTCCTGAACAGGCATTGTTTCGTGAAATCAAAAATTTAGAAGATAGCAAAATAAAATTTGTGTTTGTGACGGATATGCTCCTTCCCCAGCTCATCCTGACTTCTCACACGTAGCCCTGTTCAGGTGTTAACTACCACATTATCTGATCTTGGTAGTTGCCTCCCTGATTTCTTCCCCCCACCCAGACACCAACCGTCAATAACAGTCCTGATGGCCCTGTCCTGATGGGGAGATAAGGCTAATTGTGAGTACACCCAACAGTCATTTCTGAATTGAAAGAATGACTATCAGTCAATCATCTTATCCCATAAATACGGAGACAGCCCAAGAGCCCATTGAGCTCCCCTTGCTTGGCAGCGGGCTGCACGCCGGCATCTCTCCTTGAGCAGGGACGCCTCTCAAGGATACTCCTCGAGGTTAAGAGATCCTTCCCACTGCAGATTCGTGGTAAGTGACTATAGCGCGCCTTTCTCTTTTTGAACTTGTAAACCTTCTTTGTAACTGTGCACAAATCCCTTAGACATAAACCGTTGACCAGGTCTGGGACTAGGACTGGATCCAGCCGCACACAGACTCCTCTCAGAAGGAGTTTGGAAAGCAAGGGGGTCCAGTCTGAACCTCGTGACCCAACGGGAGGGTGTCCTTGATAATTCTGTGTATATCTTGAACCTCCATGCAGTAACTAATAAGTGACCTTGCCATAGAATCTCGTGAAACCATTGTCATTACCAATAAAACCTATTCCTATTCCTTTAATGACATTATACACGTGAATTCTAACACAGAGTCCAGCATCATAACTTCTGGTGAAAATTTTCAAAAAACGGAAGTATTTGCTGGAAATAGGTGACATTTTTTCCTATGCAATTTATGTATTTGTTACATACACAAAGAGGAAGTTTAAAAAAAATAAAATAAAAATCCTTACCTTGTATTAATGGAAGGTAGAGATGATACTGATCAATCTCCCCACTAAAAACAGCAAAAGCCTGTCGCTTTAGCAACATTGCTTTTTGCTCAAAACTTGGGTATAGTTTTAATGCGCTGCTCTGCATATCTGTAACAGACAGGAAATATTTTCATCACAATTATTTTCACCACAAATCACAAGTAGTCATCTGTGGTACATAAGAAATAACTATCACACTTTGAAGTCCTTTAAAAAGAAAAACTCCGGTGAAGTCTATCACATAGAATAACAGAATCAGTGTTGATCTAGATCTCCTCACGCCAGCAGGAAAATAAGATGAAAGAAGCACTGCAACTCCAGTGAGGTTGTCCAGTGTTTAAGACTCTGTTCTCCACCCGTATGTGTGCAAGTCTTCAGTCACATAAATCCATACATGGTGCAGCCATTCTTTTAAAAGATCTGAATAAGAGACTGAAGCACAGTCTTTCTTTTACAGCTCCAAGCAAACTTAATAGCCCGAGACTGCCCTAGGCTTGCTGTGCTGGTGCACCACGTTCCTACAGCTCTGTGCCCTAACACAGGCAGGTACAAAGCCAGCCAAATTGTCTCAACTGTTGCTGCTGCAATTAAAAATTACAACAAAAATATACACTTACAAAAGCCCAACGTGGCATTTATGGAGAGAAAATAATTATGACTTTTTTAGACTGTTCTGAAATATTACAGATAGTTTAGCATAGGCTTTAGTTATGAATATAGTTAGCAATATAATTACAGATGTGGCATAGTTTGTAGTTTATTGATATCTTAGCATTTTAAAAGCTCCAAGGGAAATGAATTTCAAATTAACATAGAAATAAGTTAGTTGATACTCACTCATCAAATCTTTGAACATTGTCTTCTCATGTGTTAGAAGATGATCAACAATGGATCTCCAACTGAGCAAAATACAAAAGGAAAGAGATAGCCAGCTAGATTCATCGCAGAAAGATTATCACCAGATTACCACATAAAAGATTTTGGTCAAGCATTTGGGCAAAGGCTTTCTTTGTAAATTCAAAATAAAAAATCAGAGTACTGTAATCTTATATCTTACTGAGTACATGAAGTGTCCATTTGGAAAAATGCTGGGTCCATATACAGCTCAAGAACTTCTTTTTTCCAGGCTCGCTTGGTATAGGCATATCCACTCAATGAGCTGAGCAACTGAGCACCAGCACGAAAGCTTGGAACGTTGTAGGCACTGCAGAAAGAACAATGGTGATATAAATATGTTAAACATTAAAATGTTAATTAGTTCCTGTTACTTCCAACTCAGTAATAGACTATGCTCAAAACTCACTGCAGTAAGAGTTCAGTAGATGTGCTCTTCCCATTTCCAGCATGCCTCGTTTGAAGAATTAATTTCAAATTTAAATATATTGCAGCACAGCATTGCCTGTATCCACTATAGATGTGATACAAAACTTCCTGAAAAATTTCTTACAAGCTTTTGCATCTTTGTCAGCAGGTCCCTCTATAAGGCACCACACTGTAGATTCGTCTGTCACTCCTGTGTATGCAGTCTCACATACAAGATCTAGTACTGCTGCTTCTCTTATTGTTCCTCTCTATACCCTATTTTACTTTTCAGATTCCAGGCTTGGGAGAAGAACTAAGACTAGCAGGAAGGTGTTGTCCTTGACACATAGGAAGGACAGCAGCAGATGCACAAACCTGGATGAGAAGGGGTGCTGTTGAAATTGTCCTGAGACAGCACCATGCCTCCACACAAGATTACACAGGCCCCTGCATGCCCTTTTTTTTGGCATCCTGTAACTCAAATCCTGCCAGTGTGGCAAGTGCAGAAGCACACAGATGGCCACATAGGTTAGTTTCTATTTTTAATAACTGCTGAGAAGCAGATGTGACAGAATCATCTAGGCCACCTGTGGGGGAATTGCTGATGGGGACTCCACATTTCTTTCCAATGCCCGTCCTAGGGTGGTTATGGCTGCAAGGGCTGCTGGCCTTGCCAGGGCAACACTAGAGAACCAACAATGGAGAGCTGTTGGCATCTCGTCAA